AGGTGCTGGCCAGAGAGGCTAAAAGGCTGAAAGAACTGCTGTGAGGTGGTGAACACAGCTCTCTTCCCGAGAGAGAAAAGATAAGCCTCAGGCTGTCACTGACAGAGGAACCCATCTCATACATAAAGTAGTATCCAGGTCACATCAGAAAAGACAGAACAACACGGAGGCTCTTTGAGTCTGAGTCCATCCAACATCTCAGGAAAGCAATAGGAATCTAAGTAAATTTGTAGAAACAGATACGAATAGTTTTGGTGTTCTGATATAGAGCAAAGTTTAACCAAAATAGATGCAAAGAGAATGAAGGTTTCCCAAGTATTTGCTACATAAAAGATGTGCAGCTAAGAAGTTCCCTGCTTCATTTCTATATTGCCAGTAACAACACTGTGACCCAGAATCATCTTCACAGCTTCAAGACAAAGAAACTGCCTCTGAGAGAAGCAAACTTCAGGTGGTGGTTCAGGGGTTTGGCCAGATAGTTTTGACTCTTGTCCACATTCGTGATCATACTCAGTTGATTACAGGTGGTCTGTCAAATTTTGTAAGTAATTTAATTAAACCAGACTGAACAATGTCAGAGGATTTTTATAAGCTTCAGGCATTCACTTTTACCTTAATATTTTATCTTAATTAATAACCAATTTAAAAAGATATATAAGAAGGTGAATAACCTATGAAGAAAGGTATGTCAAATGTTGTATTATTCAGATGTCATAACTCCTGGAATGAGCATTTTATTTTATTTTTACATGGTCAGAATCCAGCAAATATAAAGTATCCTTTACAATAAGGATTATGGAATTGCAAAAATAAATTTAATATGTTACTCAATTTAATCTTAAGGCATTTGAATTTTCCTTATATAAGTTATGAGACTGTCTTTTCAGTAGGTGGAATCTGAGTTTGGAAAAATATATATTTACAAAAAGTTGAGCTCAGTACATTTTTATAAGCACAAGTTTGTGGATTTTTGTCTTTATTTAAAATGTTATGAATATTATCATGAATGGAGTGTGTAGTTAATCATTTTTATTAGATTATGATTTGAGTTGTGGAGAGAGAAGAATCTTCAGCAAAGAATAAGTATAAAGTTGTTTATAAACTACAAAAACAAGAAAACATTAGTGGATTTCAATGCCCAGTATAATAAAACTGCTCTTTACTTTTTGGTCAGATCAGTGAATATCAGTGAAGCTTCCAGAGTTTTATGTGTAATATGAAGTATTGATTTGAACAGGAATTTTTGAATAAGAATACCGATCAAGTATCAGTTGATTTGAAATATCAGCAGGATATCAACATCAAAGTTCGTTGATAAAAACCGGAACCACAAGCTAGTGACCTTACCAGAGCAAAGGGTATGCTCCTCTCTTCTCTGCCATGCTCACCTGCAGTAGTACATTTCCAGCGGTCTGGGGACTGAAATGATGGCGTGTCTGAGGTACACACTATGTTTAGGATAGTCTTTCCCCTGGCCAGAAAAGGCGGAGCCAGTGTCATAGGGCATTAAGAGTTTTCCAAATTTCTCTATCAGATTTGTGTAGTCAACTCTAGTCTGCGACCAGCCTCTTCTCTACTCTTACCCCACAAACAAGTAGATAATATGAGTGGCAACAATAAAATAAGTTTTTCTATTTATTCAGAAAAATAGGTGTGAAGCATGTTCTTATCTTAGAACACAGCCAACAAGAAAGTATCTACATAAGATCTGCAGTAACATCTTTGTCAAGGGGATAGCTTTTGATGAGCATCAAGCTAATTAATAACAGCGTTCAAGATGGGAACTAATTTTCTATGTATAAGGATCATCTAACCATTAACAATTGTACATGATAGTCCACAGCTTACCCAGGTATATGTTTTACACAAAAACAACAAGAGTTTGCAGGAAGCAAATATACTGCTCTAAAGGCATGCTATTCTAATGCCAATGCACCCACCAAAGCACTCAAGGAAAGACTTCATGATAAACCATATTATCTACAACCTTGATACACTAATCTCAAAATTCTTAATACAGTAATCTCAGAATTCTTGATTTTAATGCTATACACATCCCCATTCCCCACAGCTATCATTTGCTATTTAAATATTAGAAGTGCTTTAAAATAAAATTTTACAGAAAAAAATTAGGAATTATCATTTTTCTGGAGATGGCTTATCATGATACCAAGCCTTCAATTTGATAAAATGATGACAGAAAAGATGTATTTCAAGTATGTTCCTCATCTTTGAGTTGTTTTGTTAACCACATTTCCACACCAAACTAGGGTGTATTTATTTCCGTTCAATCAAAAATCCTTCTGCTTGTGAACCATCCATGCACTTACTCCACAAAATATCAAATTATTGAAAATTATTTACATCAGATATGTGTGAAGAGGTTGACCAGATGTTATGCTACCAATCTGGCAACATACTTTTTACTTAATGACAACAGTGATTCTCAAACTTTAGTAATGATAAAAATCACCAGAGGAATACTTTAAACACATGTTGCTCTCTGCTCCATTCTTAGAGTTATTCATTAAACAGGTCTCTGATGGTACCCAAGATTTTCCATTTCTAGCAAGACACCAAATTATGTTGGCATGGTTGGTCCTTTAAAAGAACCAGGTTAGAAATTCAATACAATATAGGTAAGTACCATGAGATATTTTGATACACAGAAATTTTTCTTATTCTTATCCCCTCTCACCAGCTCTTTATATTATCAGATAAATTTAGGGCCCATCTAGGTCCATTACCTTTAACATAATATAAATTGATTAGAATATCACTTTGTTTTCTGCAACGTTTGCAAAAGAAAACAAACAACGAATATTAGAGGTTGGTTTTGTGGCTCAGCATATTAAGCTACCACTTACAACATGTGTTCCAATATTGGAGCACTGGCTCAAGTCTCCACTGTTCAGCTTCCCCTTCAGATTCCCATTAATATGCCCAGGAAGGCAACAGATGATGGTTCAAGTACTTGGGTCCTTGCAACCTACATGGGAGACTCAAATGGAGTGCAGGGCTCTGTCAGAGTTTAGTGACACTAAACAGAATACATTGGTAGGTTCAGTGAACCTAAACCACCTCTCTTACAGAGTAAGTGCGGCATACAATTTTAACTTACTTAATAAAATAACTGAAGAATTTCTAAATTTTCTTAATTTTGTACCTTTTTCATACTAATATTGAAAACATTTAAAATAGAAGCTAATAGAACTTGAACAAGTACCTTTTAAAAATAATCAACTTAACTACTTATTCTCTTAACCATTATCATTTATGCATTTCTAATGCTGGAAAAGAAAATGCCACAAGGCTTTCAGGCATGATCAACATTTTAGCTTTGAAATAACAGTCTTATGTTTTATCATGATTTTAAGTAAGACATGTTAAGCTCACTGCATGCATGTGCTGTAGATGTCAAACTTTTAGTTGGGCAACTCTTTTTAATAACATTTAATAACAAAGAAATGTGAAAACTCTTGAGACACTTTTTATATTTGTATGGAAGGATTTTTGAAATGCCAGAACTTTCGGAATATACACAGGATTCAAGTATCATGAGAGCATCCAAGTATTATAAAAAGTCTGAAAATAAATTTATTCACTAGCATTTTTCTTCTAATATAATCATAAGACAATCAGGAAGAAAACTCAGTGCTTCGTATGCAAATTTTATCCATTTCACATTTTTAGAGTCCTAATTTCAATAATCCTTTTTTCTCCCCATTTCAATTCCACAGTCCTTCCTACTATGATTGTTTCCATGTAAGTAGCAATTTAGTCAAAAATCTCATTCTTTGGTAGAAGAAATATCTTTGGGTAGCAAGAAAAAGATGCTGTGGATGAATTTATAAATTCTGAACAATTTTCACTGATGAGCATTTCATCAACCCTAGAGCAATTAGGTACAAATAAGTCATATAATCGTGATTATTTTTGGTACCTAAATATTCTGGTTTTATCTCAGATCTTGGCTCAAACTAAATGACTTAGAAATATTTACTTTACATATGCCATAAATGAAATAAACAATTTTAATAACCTGACACTATTAACCTTATTTTTCACTTACTATTTTAAAGTACTACCACTAAATTATTTAAATTTTTTAGTGTCAGTGAACTAGCACTCAGAGGATTCAAAATATAGTAAAATCACTGTACATTTGGCTGAAATATATAGATTATATTAATTTAGATTATCTTTTATCCCACTGTTAGGTGCTACTTAACTACGAATTAGCCCATTTTGACTCTATAGGTGTGTATGACAAAATTGATGGTTAGAAATTTTATGATTAAGTGCTTTTCATCAGAGTCTTTATGGGTTATGAACTATAAGAACTGAAAAAATATCAATAGGATTGCAAGGTCTAGCCAGCAACATGAATTCCTCTGAAGTAATTTTCATGGCCAGATGATAATTTCAGATTTCTAACATCACATATCTTCAATCTTTGCAACAACAACAATCAGATATTTAAGCACTATGTGAAAGAATTACTGATGACATTTGGTAAGTTACTGAATAAGATAAATCAAGACCGAATCAATTATAAATATTTTCTGAAGGTAAAACGATTGTGCAAAGCAAGCTAAAGATAAGCAGAACTGGATATAGTGGCTTGTGCATTGCTGAACTTTAACAAGAGCAGGAGCGACAGTGCTACTGTGGAGCTTTGATGATACGGTCCACTGTTCACCTGAAACCACCAAACACAGCATTCGTAAGCCTGCTTCCTATCTTAGTTCTCAGTCACTGAGCATTTCCTTAGAGTGCACTTCTGTTCAGCTGAGATACAACATTAAAGTATCAAAATGCATTTGGTAAATCAGTAAATAAAAGCAAGGGGACCACAGGGCATCGTTGCTCAGAAATAGCAGAAATTTAAATGCCTTAGAAGGTTCCTCAATCTGACATTTACTGCAGTAACTTACACGCATTTGTATATTCTATCATATAAATAATAAAAGTCTTGCTGTTTGGGATATTTTTCTTACCTGTCAAGTTCTTTAATCCAAGTTGCTGAAGCCCAAAGTTTCCATCTTTCCTGTAGTTTAGAAATACTGCCAACGCATATCGATCCTCATAGAGCTTTGTCCCACGAATAATGCGTAGATTCTCCAGAGGCAGGTAGCGGAACTGGTTAAGAGCTACTAAGACATAGCCGGTGACTTCTCGAATAGACTGAAAAGACACAAACAATTGCTTGGTTTTTTTAAATTAACACTAATTTGCCCACCTGTTATACAATCAAGTAGATAAAAGTTAGCAAACTAATTACAATTTTTTAATTTGAGCTTCGGTACACTAACTTTCACACTTTTACTGTACATCACATTTATATTAATGTGCTGGTACACGACTGGATAGGGTTAGAATCTCACATGACACATTAGGTATGTTTCTTCAAAAATATCATGGGTGTGCTTACAATAAAATAACTGATAGTTTATGACCTATTTTTCACACTTGAGATTTTTTTTATTGTTTTTTGATACAATTTAGTTTGCAGTGGGCTCTCCTTCTCCCTCCCCAAAGTTCCCTCCACTCCACTCTCTTCTTCTCTCTAGGTTCATCTGGGATTTTCACAAGTCCATCCTGTTTCCTCTGGAGTGTCTCCCAGCCTTGTAGGACAATAACTTTTCTTTGTAGGTTAATTCTTGTATCCTGAGGCCCTAAGGTAAGTATAGTGGGGATTAAGCCTTCATTGTTTATGGGCAGTACCAATAACAGTGACAGAGGGGACAGTGACTCTCAGGTTGTCATAAATAATCAACCTCTTACGGAGGCTTGATTCATGAACACTTGAGATTTGAAGAATGCATTGACTTTTCATCGACTGACTATAATGAGATGAATCCATCTATCAATCAAGCTTTACAATAAAAAGCAAATAGATAAAAAAATATCATAAGTGCAATAAACCTGTGCTAGTTTTCAGGTTAAGGGTTAATTTTAAGTGTCTATGGGACAAGAGTTTAGCCTAGCAATTAAGAAACCTGCATTCCACATTGGAATGCCTGGGTTTCATTTATACCTTTGATTCCTCGCTATAAATTCCTGCCAGTACTGACTCTTGGCAGCATCAGTGGTGGCTTAAGTCATTATACTCCTGCCACCTAATCAGGGAACCTAGATGTCACACCCAACTCCCAAATTCAGCCCCACCTAGCCCTGGCTATTGCAGAACATAGACACTTAGCCAGCTAATGAGGTCTCTCTCATTCTCCTTTTCTCAAATAAGAAAATTAAGATCTACTATGTTAGTTTTAGTACTTATATGTGTAGATATGTACAACTCTAGAGAACACATACACAGAAACAACACACATTCAGAGCTTATTATTGCCCCTAAATCCTTTATAAACTTTTTTTAAAACTTTCTACTATTTAAATTTAGTTGCATACAATTACTTGAGGATTTGTGAGACTTGACAGTTTTGCAAAGATAGCTTCAAAATTTTCAGTAAACAATATCATAATAATACGTAACAACATGCACCCCCACATGCATATATATTGTTTATAGAAACTGAAAGTATATAATGTTCTAAAGTACATTGCTTCTGGATATTCTGAGCCTTTTCATTTCAGATGCCCCTGTGCTTGCATTTTGAGTGTTTAATTTTGCTTTGTTTATTTCTTTCTTCACTCTTGCTCCCTAAGTGATCTCATCCAGTTTGAGGACTGTCAATGTTCCATTTTTATTCTGTAAATCTCCTCTAAACTTTAAGCTTACATCGACTGCCTACTCAGCATCCTCACTTGGATGTGTGGCATTGACATGTACCTGTTGAAAACGGAAACCTTTTATTTTCCCATCTGTCCAACTTTCCTTATCTCCCCTGCAGTCAATCCACTTTCATGATTTTTACCTTTTAACATATAATGGATATGTTTGTCACATTTAGCATGTATAATACACTCCTCCTACTCCCAGCATATCGCTTTACAAAATCAAAACACTTATTTATTCACTCTTTTTTGTCTCACTTGACAATAAGAGGCCAACAAGGATTTGTTGAGTGCTATGGCCCTTCCCTGGCAATATCCTTTACCTCTGGGAAAGCCATCTTCACCTTCCTGACCCCAAGCCCTCATTTGGCTGGAGATCCACTAGTTCAGGTCAATCCCCAGACTCTATCACCTACATGCATCTACCTAGTAAAATAGGTGGTCCAGATGCAGACATTTCCAAGGCACGTGTACAGCTCCCAGATGTGTAGGTCAGAATGCATGCTACTTTCATGCAAGATCTCTAACAACACAGAACAGAACGGAACGGAGGAGAAGCCCCAGGCTGGGGTTTGTCTCTCTCCATTCCATCATACCTCTGAGGTCAAAAGAGACCTAAAATCGCACGTGACTATCTAGTTCGAGATACAGATTTACCTAAAGTGAGAGGATAAACGTTATTTGGTAGTTCTTGAGAAGCCTAAAGTATACTATAAAAAAATAAAATTTGTTGGTGTACTATTGTACTCTGGCTTCAATTCTCACATTTCTGCAGGCAAGCACACTAACCAACAGTAACTTGGGAGAGTAAAATTCTGATTGAGCAAAGACGGATATGAAGATAAATGGGACTCGGGAAATTACTCATTTCCAGCATTACATTGGAAAATATGAGACACTTGGGTATTCTTGAGACACTGAGTGCCTACAGGTGAAGAGATGAAAGCTTAGGGCAAAAGAAGAGACCTAGGAGAGGTCAGCACTGTCACACATTATTAGTTCACCACGTGTATTTGAACTTGTACCTGCCTGAAAGAAGCCAGCCTGCAGCTCTACATGCCCTCCCTTTCAAGTACTATTCCAATGGTTTAGTTATTCATTGGGAATAGAGGCTGCTTTACTAATACATTATCTAGACTATGTTAAAGCATCCATCCACTCTCCTCAAAACCCTCCAACCCCACATGGGGGTTCCAGATAAGTTTCCCTTATCAAGAACCAAAATCCATTGGATTAACCTGAGATTGAAGAACGCAGTAATAAGATTACCAGCAAAAACTCAGATGAAGTACAACCAGGTCAAAGAAAGAAATCTAACAAAAAAACCCATATGACTAGCAATGGTTCATTGGTTACTAAAAGGAGAACTTCTTCTAGCAGAGCATTTGCAAAGCAATTAGCAAAACCTGAAGGAAAATAGCCTGCAAATGTTAAGGACACTAGGACATATGATGGATGGGATGTGAGACAATAGTGAATGCAAGCAAAGAAGTGGCTTAATAATACAGAAGAAAAGCTCCAAAATTTCTTAGTTAAGAGAAAAAACAGAAATAAGCGAAGTTTTGTATTTGTAAGTTATTCAATGTATCTTGAAATCAGTCAACAACTTTACATAATATAGATACTTCACATCCCAAACCAGTCTGCTAAATTAGTCCTTGAAATACTTTTGTTGCCTTCAAAAAGAACAGCTAGTCCTATGCAGACATTCTGAGACTGAGAAACTGCTGTGCCCACATTTCTCTCTCATTGATCATTCTGTATATTACCCCCTGGTTGTGAAATTAGGCTGTGTAACAGAAAGCTTACCTAACAAATATCCTTTTCATAGATGAACTCTGGATATCATTGCAATGTTAATGCCAAAAGTGAGTATGTCAAAAATATTTTAAACAAAGCCTCTCACAGCCAAGTATTAATAACAGTAGTAAAAATTCTATCCATCTTATCTCCAACAATCTTCTACTGTCCAGAGTGATGATGCAAATAACAGGACAAAAATTATGTTAAGTCTCCCAGACTAAGTAAGATTTGTTGCTGTACTCTGAAATTCATGGAACCAAAACATTTTTTAATTACAGGATATAAACATAAACTTCTCATATTTATTAGCAACACATTGTGCCTTCATTTTAGTGCCTCTTTCTGGTTTCCTGATATTCATAGTTATATTTTTTCAGGTATCCCTAAATGCTTTCTATGTGCAAATATCTTTAAAAATACCTCAAAAGGTAACTCCAATGCATAACGTGAACTACAATGAGTACTGACTGCCAAGTAGAATTATGGGAAACAATTTAACAATCGTAGGATTGTATGTGATGTGAAGATAGTCAGTAATATGGTTTCTAGGTCTTGGTGTCAGTCAAGAGTTACCTAAAGCTATTAGGATTGTGTCAGACAAGGACAAGGACAACCATGTGAGGGGACACCAGCTTCCATTTCTGAGGGACTCAACCATCAAAGACAATCTGAGCAGCACCATATTTTTTACAATCTTAGATTTTTTTAAAGTATATAACTAGCCAACAGGAAAGTCTAACGGGAAAATGTGGTTTGTTTCCCAAGCAGAAGTGAGCTCAAATTCTGTTCTATGCACTTAGCCATGCTATGATTTGGATGAAGTTATTGAACCTCACCGAGTCTCAGTTTCTTCAAATTCACAAACGTGATAGCAATATGCCTGTCATGAAACCACTGCAGTGATCAGGGGATACAGGAAAAGTGCCTGGAAACAGAGAACTTTCAAACACGTGCTGATGGTTACAATGATTTCTTTCATAATAACTAGGCTGCTGAACGGTCTGTGGATAATCAGAGCAGGAATCAAAAAATTACATCAACATAACTATTGCTTTTATTCTGTTGTAGCACAAATTTTGGTGTCTTTGTATCTTTAGTTTTCGATATAATACTAAATTTCAGAAATGGTTAGTTGTCCTTGCTTTAGCACTACTCTTAGTACAAACCCTGTCACTCACTGCTCAAACATTCAACAAAAGCTTTTGAATAGACTGCCTCGGAGAAGTCCAAAGCAATGCTGCAAGTCTTTTCTGATATTGTTTTTCATGGAAAATGATTTTATGAACCCGCTGCTAATATAAACAATGTCTCAAGAACATACTCATGATTTTTGCTCAAGGACCGTGATAGTAAACAGAAATAACCACGATGCCTGAGCAGGGAGAAAATCCTGCCTGTGGTTCTGGCTGAGAAAACAGTTCAGTCTGAGATGTATGGTTTATTTGTCAATTGAAGAGTGAATACTCATTTGAAGGCATATCATCCTCCAAGTGGTTTAACTCAGTAAACTAATTTTCACTGTCAATGTATGCTTATACAGCTGCTTTGCTCAAGAAGTAAATGCAACTGAAGATTATTAAAGCCATAAATGCTTCAAAAAGCTTCTAAGTCAGGGGAAAATTTCATTTGCTTATGGCATCTAACAATTGAAGTCTTTATTTCTCTCTCAAACACATACACAAAACAGATAAAATAAAAATAAGATCTGATTAACTCCTCATATATTATTAGCAATAATAATGGGGGATATACATTTTATACATAATTTCTTAAGCAAGATATGAAATGTGTAGTTATAAACTTCCTGGGATTTTCAATGAATCATTATTTCAAAAATGAGATGAGATTTTATTGCTTTACCAAGTTAATCATTTATCTCCAGATTGTCTCAAAAAGTCAGCCCTTTTAATTTCTAAATTTGCATTTCATTCACAACTCTTAGAATTAATAATAATAATTGTTTTATTTTAAATGATTCACTTATTCTCTTGTTTGTTGTTGATCCCCTCTGATTGTCTTCTTAGTGGAAACATAAAACAGTTTCCTATAGGTGCCTTTATACTCCTTAGGTTTTTTATTCTATTATTAATATTATTATTATTCAACATGGTTCTATCGGCTCTGGATCCACTTAAATTTTCAGCAATTGTACTATCTCAAAATTCCTGAATATTTAACCAGTGTTTGGGAACAATTTTTTGCACATTAGAAGCAAATGCTGGGCCCGGTGTGATAGCGTAGTGCCTAAACTCCTCACCTTGCAAGCGCCGGGATCCCATATGGGCTACCATAATCCCGGATGCCCCGCTTCCATCCAGTTCCCTGCTTGTGGCCTGGGAAAGCAGTGGAGGATGGCCCAAAGCCTTGGGACCCTGCACCCGTGTGGGAGACCCGGAAGAGCTCCTGACCCCTGGCTTCGGATTGGCTCAGCCCCAGCCCTTGCTGGCACTTGGGGAGTGAGCCATTGGATGGAAGACCTTTCTGTCTCTCCTCCTCTCTGTATATCTGGCTTTCCAATAAAAATAAAATAAAATAAAATAATTTTTAAAAAGAAGCAAATGTTAAATTTGTTTCTAATTTTTTTAAATTCAAATTACACAACACTTCTTTTTAGAAGTATATTTTTGAAAGTATATTTGCCTAATTTGGTTAAAATCACTCTAACAATTCTGAGTCTAACTTCTACTCCAATAAGCTACATACTCATTCACTATAGAATGCAAGTGTTCTGTGACATTGACAAATGCAGTGGCAAATTGTAGCCTTTATATCAGTAAGTCTTTCCATCAAGTTTCCCTAGGTAATTAATTTCTGCCTCTACTCCTCCTCATAGCATGTCTAGGAATATGTAATACGGAGAATATGAGTGGCTGACATAATATGAAGAATTTTATCAGAAAATAATACTAAGCATGTAGTCAGCTTTAGGTATTCTGCAGACTCAAAAAGACAGTGTTTTTTGCTCTGGAACACTGTTTTTAGTGTTCCCACTGTCTTTGAAGCTGTGATGACTGTGCCACCCTGGAAAGTGGAAGTTAAAGCCTGATCTAATTATCTTTGGGAGAAAGAGTGATGTGAAATGTCATCTACCTGACGGAGGTAGAGCAGAAGTCATGCTCATTATACACAGCGAGAAATAACCGTCGGAGAGTACTAAATTGGGTCTCAGTTATCTCAGGAAACCTTGGTAGCTCTCAGCCCATCTCTCCAGGGCTACTAGCCCTAATTCCGCGCATGCGGTCCCTTCTTACAATCACTGACTATATAACCAGCACTCCATTCATGCCTTCTAAAAGTAAACGTGCTTCATCCCATTGAAAAAGAGATTGCTCAAACAGCATCCCCTGGAACGATTCACCTTTACGAACTCTTTATCCTATATCCTTCAGTTGGTTAAAAACTTTCTAATAGCACCCTTAGATCTACATCTCCATTGTATTCTTCATCCCCAGACCCTCTCTAGACTATACCTTTGCATCACAGACTGATTACTCTAGAGTTAGGCTTATCAAATTAGCCCAAAACTACCTCTGTA